GTTTGGTTGAAATTGGTTCATTTATTTAAGAAGCGAAATGGTTTTTCAACAAAAATGCAAATTGGTTAAAATGGTAATTTGAGGGCAAAATCTTCAATAAACAGTCAATTGACATTTTCTGTCATGTATTTTAAAAATAGATCTTGTACTGCTGATAATTTTTGCTGCTTGCAGTTTCTGTCTGTCATAATTGTTTTCAAGATTATAATTGAAAAATGCTTTAACTGGACAAAAATCGTTGTTAAATTGTAATCAGTCCCATAAATCAATCAATGGTTTCATTCATATTGCTTTTAAGTAGATCTTGTTTCTCCATCAATGTTTTCAAGATAACATACATGTAGTTGTCCAACTTCTAGCAATGAGAAATCATGTAATGACATATGCCATGCATACCAAAAAGCCTGTTAAACGTCTGGCGAGCTTTTTTTTGGCTCTGAAAATCACACAAAATTATGTACACTAAACTGATTTCAGTTTATCTACGTTTTTAACATAATAGGCACACATACTACTAGTAATTGACAAAACATTTAGGAATGTCTGGTCTTCAATGCTATTCAACTTCGTACTTTAATAGGCCTTTTTAACCCATTTAATTCCAGCGTCACTGATGAGTCTTATGTAGACGACACGCGCGACTGCCGTACAAAATTCTAATCCTGGTACTTGTGATGAGTTTATTTATTGGACAAAAATCATGATTTAAGGGAAATACCTCCTATAAAGTGTCGGGTTTTTTTTCGTGGAAATGAGAACATATATCCTAAAAACTGTAATAACAAAAATACCGAACTCCAAGGTAAGTTCAAGAAGGGAGGAGTCCAATAAAACTGACAAAACCAAATGCTCGACTATATCAACAACGCAACTGTTATATTTCTGACTGATTTTTATGTATGAAAATAAGAATATATATTTGTTCTGTATATTTGGGACTGTGCGCCAGACTTTAAAGCATCTAAGTGTGGGCTACTGGTTACTTGGTTTGGTATGGAATTCCACAACCTTACTGTTCTTGGAAAAAATAAAAATACGGCTAGTATTTTGAAGAGAAAATGTCTGAATAAACTTATATTCCATTGATAGTACTAAGTATTGCTTGTTTGAGATGGAAACTAGTTGTTGTTTAATATTGTAGAGCATGTTGACTGATCCATGATTATTTCTTCTTTGTTGTAGTGTTGGTCGGGTTAGATGGTCAAGCATGACTCTAACATTACTTTGGTAGCTGTATTAGTGTTTACCTGGTAGCTCTTCTCTGGATCATTTCGATTTTATATTGTTTTTTTAATTTTTGCCAGGGATCCCAGACAACTATGTCGTGGTCTGCTTTTTCTAGACTAGATAATGTTTTGTAGTGATGGTTGATTTAGTTAAAACAATTCTAGTGTGATTTCCTGTCTCCTTAGTTTGTGTACAACCTGTTCAAAATTACGGTCATTCATGATGGTAAAGAAGTTGTTGTATGTAATGGTGGATTTGCATATTGGGTTTCAGTTCTTGTTTTATCCAGTCACATGTTGGGAGATTGAAGTCTCCAAGTAGCCAAGTACTACTGTTTGTTGGTATGCTCTGTAACGATCTACTTAGTTCATTGATACTATCGGTGTCGTTTTCTTTGGGTTGTAATAAGCCCAACTGTAGATAGATTTTACTCCGATTATATCCATGTTTGCCCATAATAATTCGCAATTTGTGTCCAGTTAATTTTGTTGATGACAAAATATCAACTGAAATTGCTCAGAATACATCCCCTCCTCTACATAATGTTTTGTCATTACGATAAATTGAGCACAAGAATTTCAGGAAGATTTCTGAATTAATTATGTCTGGTATTAGCCAAAATTATATACCTACTATAATATTTGGTTTAACCTAATCAATTACTTGATGGAGGTCATCTACGTTTGATTTTATTCACGGACATTTTATATCTAATATCGTAAACTTTTATCTCAGCTGGTAACCATTTTGAATTTATGAGGGCATCAAAGAAACAACGCTTGTATTAACCATACCTCGTCCATTGCACAGAAATTTTATCTCACCTGGTCAAAGGCCAATTGAGCTTTTGCCACTTTTCTCCGTGAACTTGTCACACTTTAATCTTTTTTAGAAAAATTAAACAGAATAAAACCAATATTGGCTGGGATGTTTCATTCAATGTCTTTTCCAAGTGTTGTTACTTGGTGCCTATTTTAACAAACATGGCTTTCATAACCTTTTCTAATTTTAGGAAATTTTCTTCCTAAGAAAATATTGAAACAAAACTAGCGAAATATGATCTTGTGAAGGTCCTCATCAAGTGTTCTTATATTAATGCCATCATAAATTCAAAATGGTTACTAGGTGAGGTGAAAGTTTACATTGAAATTATATGGACAAATTACATTTTGCTTTCTTTTTCAAGAACAGATGAAAGGAATTGAAAACAAACCATGCAGAATATGGATACTTACCTAGTGATGTTACTTTGATCTTAATGAAAATTCAAATACAACTGCAAGGGACTAACAATTTGTCAGAATTTAAAAGATCTTTTCCTCAAGAACCATTGAAGAAATTGAAACTTTTCAGATATCCTTGACAATTGTTATATTGATGCCAAACAGAAATTCAAAATTACTGCCAATAGAGGTAAAGTTAACATTAAAGCTCTGTGGGATTTATCATTTTGCTTAACTTTTCAAGAAAAGATTAAGTGAAATAATCAGACCATATAGAGATTTTCTTAGAAGTTAAATAACAAGTATGGTTTTACTTGGGTTTTGATGAAAAGTTCAATATGGTTACAAGGGACGAAAAAGGGGTTCAATTGGTAAGATTTTCAAAGATTTTCTCAAAAACTTCTGAACCTTTTGGAACTCATTTTATCAGATACGTTTCTATGTTATTACTTTAGCTTTAATGAAAAGCCTAGTTTTGGCTATTTTGGCTAAAGAAATCTAGGTTTGATTCAGGCACCTGGGCTCTAGTTACATTAGATTACAAGATGGGGATTGACAAACAATACCAATGCTGTGACCTGAACTGCATCACTACATGCAATTGCTTGAGGTTACATGTATACTGAAGCATAACTTATCATTTCCTTTCACTGAGGCCAAGAAAACTAAAAATATTCGCAAAGACGAAGTGGCTGCAAGTCAGATGTAAAATCTGTCTACACCCTACAACTAAACATTATCAAGCTGCAGATCAAATATAAAATCATTTTTCTCTTTCAATGAAGCCAAGAAAAGATTGACAATAGTTATCTTCCCAAGGTCTTTCAGGCGAATGGAATGACAGACAGAGTGGAGTGGTCCCTGCTAGACACACTAGACCTGCTTTCACTATTGTCAGTAAACCCTAAAAAGCTTAATATGCAAGTGATCTGTTTGAAAGGAGAAGACTGAGTCTCTTGTTATGATGACTGGTACCTCTCTTAATTCGAACTTTACTTTAGTATCAACCACAGACTTTAAAAATACAGTCGAACCTCGTTGTGTCGAAGTCGAAGGGACCAGACCAAAGTATTCGACTCATCCGAGGTTCGACTCATCCGAGGTCGAGTGTGTCGTCAAAATTTGGAATGCAAAAAATACGGTATGAAATTTGCGTAAACTAGATCATTGACTTTGAACAGTGTGCCTTTTTTTCGATATGACACACTTTATAATTGTGTATGCAATCGCCATTGTTGGTCCTTCATAATAATCAAACACACAAGAACAGATACAAATCATGCACAAATAAAATCAATAGTCTACACACATATTTATAAAGGTCAGTCACTATAAATTATGAAATCATTCGCGGAACGAAATAAGTTCTGAACGGTCTCTGATGAGGGTGTCTGCTGTACATTAAATTATCATGAATTTATGATAATTGTCTTAATCCTTTATTTATTGTAATTAATGAGTTTTTATTCTAACGATTGATTTAATCTCGGCTCTTGTCATTTAAATTCGTTTCATTTTTATCTCATGTGAAATATGTTCAACACTCTAAAGTTCCGCTTGTACAATCAACAAAGGTGTTAATTACCGGCAACCATAAACATGTCAATTTAACTGTTATACAAACAAGTATGTTTACTCAGCTTTAATCTCTTTTGAAAATGATTAGGTTACATAAGAAATACATCCGATTTGAGTTTTTATCATTAGGTCTGCATCTTTGGAAAATTCTTACTTTCGAACTTCGAGACATCGGGGTCAATTTACATGAATTTTATATCGACGGGACTATCAAATTTACTCGACATAACCGAGTATTCGAATCAACCGAGTTCGACTCATCAGAGGTAATTATGCATTGATCAAACGGGAATTTTACCGGGACCGAGAAATTACTTCGACTCATCCGAGTTTTCGACACAACCGAGTTCGACACAACGAGGTTCGACTGTATGAAATGTAAATCAAAATCAATCTGGTTTTTTAATTTCCACCTCTAGAGGTTAAAAACCATAAAGCAACTTATTTTCCAGACTTTTGCAAGTAGAAAAATAATGCAAATATAAATCTTCCCATATATAAGTATATCACGAAAATCAAGAAAACTAAATTAGTGCAAAGATGACTAGGAAGGGCTAAACACATAATAAAGTATCTGTGAAAAAAGTTGGTTACAGTAGTCCTATATATAAAAAATTTGTGCCATTATGAAGAAATTACAAGACATTGAATTTTGTGATGTGCACATTCAAACCCGATCCATACAATTATATTACAATAAAACTAGGTTAGTATCATTGCCAAAGAATTGTCAGTTCCTGGGTGTCATCCTCTAAGAAGCAAGTGCTTCAATACTGTCATGATCTAAATGATACATTCTGTCTCAAAATGTCAAAGTTGACAGTTTTCATTGTTCTGTTTGCCCTTTTTTCAGTTTTGATGCTATCAAATGCATGATGAATCTTGCTTATACCAAAGTCTGGGTACAGACCGACCAACATGGAAATACAAAAATACTGTTAATACGGACAAAGGAAAAAACAGGAACCAATCTTTCAGCAGTAAAAAAAAACAGTTTTATTATCATGTACTGTATATATATTTAATAAATACAGTTCAGATATCCATGGTTGACACGTGTTGATAGAATTGTCAATTTTCCTCTTGTTCCAATTTCTTCAAGACCTATAAACAACAAAATAAAATCATGAATTTGAAATTTAACAGAAAATAAATCAGATACTTTTAACAATAAAGTGTAACATCTGTCTTCTGTTTCAGATAATCTTCTTAAGATTTGACAATATCTTTTTAACTTTAAGCTGGTTTGCTGTTTTGTTTTCTTCAATTCAATAAAAAACCATACAAATGCTGTAAATTGTAATTGACTTAAACGTCTTATATAACAAATTCTACTATAAAAATCCACATAATATCTTTGGGCTTTGGTTATTCCTACTTTATTATCACATAATCCCGTCTCATGTGAGAAAACTGAATACTGATAAAATAAAGAGATTGAAATGTATTTAAAGGGAAAATTCGCGATTTTTTACTTTTCATCTTATTATGTTCATAATACCATAAAAAACATATTTACCAAGTTTTATCTGGATATGAACACTAATAAAGAAGAAAATTGGGAATTAATAATTTAATTTATTCCAACTTCCTGACTTATGTGACGTAGTTTAAGTCTTTTTGCATGCCGGGAGTGAATAAATCTCGTTGTAAGTCTTGTTCGTTAATCATCTAATAACTCGATTTAAAGCGCATCGACGACTTTTGGCGTAGCTATTAACCAACTAATAATTAAGAAAGTAAAGTGATCCGCCGTGCAACTTTCAAAATTAAAATGTACAATTTATATTTAAAGGATTTCTGATATGATTATAGTAATAAAAGTAAATCATACAAAGAATATATTTTCATGAATTTTTTTTCCGACGGATATTTTGAACAAACATATATAACTGATATTGTTTTACAAATGCATGTTTGTATTCTCACCTGAAGGCTTTTACTTCAGTCTAGTACTGTGTAAATACAATGTGTATTGTACTGTGACACTAAGTGACCACCTGTTGAATGCGTGGTTAAATTCAAGGTAATTAAAAGATTAGCATTCTGTAATTCTATTCTTTTGATCTTCACTCAGTGAATTTTAGCCAACACGGTTCACCGTTACAGGTGTGAACAACATTTCGTATGAATGATAAAAACATTAATTATTTGGGGAGGAATATGGTGGCAAAATACCTGAATCGCCGTTATATACATGTATATCTTTTATATTTTGCGTAAGCTTAATTTTAAAATAGATAGGTGAGTATTTTGTTGTAACATCGAAATTCTGAATTACTTTCAATTAAATAATTTTACAAATAAAAATGGCCCACGAAAACGAGCGTATAAACCAAACACTGTACTTACTTTTTCAAATTATCATGGGTATTAACCGTGAATATTTCAATGTTTAGAGAAAATTATCGCGGTTACATGATTAATATAGGTTGGTCCGTCCACAGCGATCTACATTTACCTAATCGGGAATGCCCTTATTAAAATATTTAAAATCTCACAACGTATACATACTTTAGCTATTTGACCAACGATGTTTAAAAAAAATAACAGAATCAATCTAACGTCAACTTTCCTTTTTTGAATGGAGACAGACCGGAGGAATCAATTTTCAATGTGCTTTATATCTTGTACCTTTGCAAGACTTATCATTCATTCATAAACCCACTTTATACCAGAGACATATATGTCAGTCTTAACTGACAAGAATACACCTAAAGCGGACAAGCAGTATTTTCTTTAAGCTTCTGTGATTTAATACCAAGAAAGAAAAAAATCCCGAAATTAATTTGATACTTTGATACTCAATATTTTTCCTGGAAAATATTCATATCCTCGTTTGGTCTGAAAATAAGATAAGAATTTGGTATACAGAACATGCAGAAGTGTGAATGTCATAAAACCTTGTTATATCAGAAACCATTATAAATGTGAACCTGTATACGTAAGACCTCATGGGACGTCACCTAACCACATACAGGTAATATACAAGTAGCTCTGTTATACCCGGAAATGTCAAGGTAAATCACTACCGATACAGAATGTACCAATGCAAAGAAAATTCTGATGATTGTGAAGCATGACCATTCATGATTTTAGAGGAGTCTTAGGTGGAAATTGCCGGTACGATTTAAATTCTGACTATATTTTTTTCTCTCAATTTAAATCACTGAACTTTAAAAAAAAGAAACATACGCCCAAGATCAGAATTCTTCATGTAAATTCATAAATACAACGTTCTTATTTTGTAACTTTCGATATACTTCATTATCAAAGTGTACATGCATGTATTTTAATGACTGTCCGTTATTTCGATTAAGAATGACAAGTGTACGTGAAATTCTATAGTTGCCTGTGAGACTTTTTTTTACCAGATATGCGACTTTTCGTATTTATATTTTCTCTTATATTACTCTCATTTAATATTTTATGCATAAGTGCAATATTAGGAATGGTTTATCCCCCCTCCCTTTTAAGCTAACTAAATAAATTAATCAACCTTCTAGCTGACCAGACGTTAACACATATACTATCAGTCAATTCGGAGTGAAGTTTCTTTATTTCTTCAAATAAGCTTTTTGGGGATCATTAGTGTACGTCCAGTGGCATATATATTACATGCATGTCGGAACAGGAAAATTGACATGAGGTATAATAGAACCATGTTCACATTATTACATTATTATATATAATACACAACCATTGAGATGATGACGACTTTCTTAAACTGTTCAAAATAATCTTATGGAAATAAAAATCTGTGATTTTACTATGTGCATAACTTTGATGAACCAAAGCAAGTTAGATATAAATAAATAAAATAAATAAAATAAATAAAATAAATAAAATAAATAAAATAAATAAAATAAATAAAATAAAATAAATAAATTAATTATTTTATTATAGTGTCACATATTTGATCAAACAATATATATATACAACAATTCATAATAAAAACAGAGATCAAATATCCAGCCTTAGAATAGACTTATGAGACACTTAGATATCGACCTGTATTTAAATCAGATTGGTTTTGGATGTTTCTCTCGTATACTCAATATACATGTATATATTCTAAATTGCGACTATCTATAGTTCCGTAACCTTCTATCTAGGCGTATAATCCAATGATCGACAAGTGCGTACATTTTGTTAAATCAATATTTGTACGTTTCAAAATGTCCATAATTATTGACAACGAGTAATTACTTACATTTTCCCCAATTTACGTTTGGAAAATATGTAAATATATTTTTATTTTATCAAATCTTTTTTTGGAATTATTTAGATTTTCATAAATGTTCTTTACACCATAAATGTTATTTATAAACAAGCGTATGAGTTTAGTCATATATATAATGGTTATTATATCTATGGTTTAGTAAAGACTAGCATATCACTATCGGACACGCAAGACAAAGATGTATATTCACCTGATAGTTTCAAAATGGAAAGTTACAAGTTATCGGCCGTGTACACTTCTCAATACCCTCAGAGGTGAAGTGATGCACGAACTTGCTTTATGTAATTGTGTAATAAGAGTTTTAAAGCCCGACAAGAAATCGCTTGAATACCTGGACGTGTCAACTCACAATACCTGTGGGAACAATTCCTTTAGCAATGCTGGTGATCAGATAAGGGAAGGTCCGAATTTATTTAAATAAGATTATTACATAAATGAATTATGAACACACTAGATTTTCGAAAACATTTTTACACGGAACACTTAATTTATCACTTTGAACTTTTTAACTAATTTCCATTAACATTTCTTGTTTCAAAAACTTAGTAAAAAAAACCAGTTTCAAAACGACAGACCATAGTACTAGTTATTCAAAAAAAATTATATATAATTACATTTTCCGTATCAAGTTAGTTAGGAAAGGTTGCATGCACAACCATGTCTATTATAATCCTTTTTTGTGACCCGGGAAACTGTTTAGGCTTTCCTTGTCGGGTAAAACAACCGTACGCTTGACAAGATATCGACACTCAATTACGGCTACGTTAGGTTACTGCTTGTTTTGGTCCTTTGTGGTTTATAGATATATCGTGGTTTCTATTCAGGGATGATGTCAAAATGGCCGCACGCGGAGACGTGATACTCTAAATTTAAAATCGATGGTGATCTCTTATCTAGCAGAATTAAACTTTAATATTTATGAATTTGTGGTTTTTTATAAATAATCAACATAATATCAATTTTTCATTTTTTTGCGAAGTTTCCCTTTAAGCATGGCAAATTTTTAGAACAAGTGTACAGATTATGTGTTATTAATTAACAAAAAAGGGACGAAAGATACCAGAGCGACAGTCAAACTCATAGATCGAAAACAAACTGACAACGCCATGGCCAAAAATAAAAAGACAAACAGACAAATAAAAGTACAGATGACACAACATAGAAAACTAAAGACTAAGCAACACGAACCCCACCAAACAAAGTGTTTACCCTAAAATACCATTAAAAGACCATTTCATGAAAAACAGTAAAATCTTCATCTCTAGTGAATTCATCTTTATTCAAATGAAGCTAAGAACTTAAATTGTTGTGTACAAATAAAAAGGAGCTGAAATGAAACTATTTTTGTTGATGCAATGAACAATAACATTCTAATAGAATTACGCACAAAAGGTGTTGATATAGACATATTAAACAAACTTTAAAGAATATAATGACTTTTTGACATGACTGTGTTAATAGGATAGACGTTCAAAATATTGATTTTAAGGAGAGTATAATGTTTTGTAGAATTAACTACTTGAAAGTCTTATTTTGATACAACTTTAAAGACAGAATGTCCTTCCCCTTCCACAAACATGATAAAAATAAACGTTAAAACTATAAAAAATAAATGTGGATAGTGTCCACATGTGGACACAGATGATGCCCCCACTTGCATATCATATAGTTATAAAGGGACATAACTGAAGAACGGTAAAAGTGACGCTACCCAAATTTGAACTTGATCTGAGTTTTGTGGTAATAAGCATTGTGTGTAAGTCTCATAACATTTGGTTGAGGCTAACTTAAGTAGAGAACAGCAATTTTTCTATTTGTAAACACGCATAACTCTATAACGGTTGTGTATAAGTTTTATAAAATTTGGTTGACACAAACTAAAGTTAGAGAACGGAAACGAAAAATTCAGCAATTTTTATGTTTATAAAGGGACATAACTCAAGAATGGTAAAAGTGTTGCCACCAAATTTCGTACTTAATCTGTATTATGTAGTAATAAGCATTGTGTATAAGTTTCATAACATTTGGTTGAGGCAAACTAAAGTTAGAAAATGGAAACAAAAAATTTGTACTTGATCTTAGTTTTGTGGTAATGAATATTGTGTATAGGTTTCATAATGTTTGGTTGGGGCAAACTTAAGTTACAGAATGGAAACTAAAAATTTTGCAATCTTTCGATTTATAAAGGGGCATAACTCAATAATGACACTACCAAAATTCAACTTGATATGTGTTTTATCAGTGGAAGTCAAACATTGCATTGTATAAAGCATTGATTGTAGTTGATTCAACTATAATCATGGACAAAGGAAGATAACTCCAATATTAAAAATTACTTGATATTTAGAAGAAAATAAAAATTTTGCAATTTTTCCATTTATAAAGGGCATAACTCTAGAATGGTTATAGTGACTCCACCAAAATTCAAACTTGATCTGTGTTTTGTGGTAATAAGCATTGTGTATAAGTTTCATAACATTTGATTGAGGCAAACTTAAGTAAGAGAACGGAAACTAAAAATTTTGGAATTTTTCCATTTATAAAGGGGCATAACTCTAGAACGGTTAAAGTGACACCACCAAAATTCAAACTTGATCTGTGTTTTGTGGTAATAAGCATGTGTATAAGTTTCATAACATTTGGTTGAGGCAAACTTAAGTTAGAGAACGGAAACTAAAAATTTTGCAATTTTTCCATTTATAAAGGGGCATGCATAACTTTATAACGGTTAAAGTGACGCCACCAAAATTCAAACTGGATCTGTGTTTTGTGGTAATAAGCATTGTGTATAAGTTTCATAACATTTGGTTGAGGCAAACTCAAGTTAGAGAACGGAAACCAATTTTGGGACATACGTTCGTACGTACAGGCGGACAAGGGTAAAACTTAATGCCCCCGCCGCTACAGCGGGGGCATAAAAATCAATTATGGTGAACTTTGATTTTTTTCAACAGCTATCCTACTAATCTTTGGTAGACAACTGGTAAAAATCACACTTCATCTCTATATGTTATCAATTATATCAAATCTCTTCTATTCTCCTTAAAAGAGTATAAATCAGCGAACAACAACATACTTTAGGTCAGGTTGATGAACTTGAATGTTTGCTAAAAAATCTACACTCTTTTGGCATGTTGAAGCAGATAAGGCAAAAATGTTAGAGGTACCAGTATACTTAATCTTGAAACATTTAATAACCAACTTATAAAGGATATACATTCAAACCTGTATTAAGAGACCACTTAGGGAGAAGACAAAAGTGTTTTCTTAATACATGTGGTCTTTGAACACAGGTTCAAACACCTGACTAGAAGGAAACTTTCACATGCATAGTTTTTGCAGGTACTAATGTAAGTGAATTATACTGTATTTGTCTTATGTGCATCTCCACAGTTGTATGTAGTATCAATAAAAAAAAATTTCCTTATATATTTTATTTTTATTTTTTCTCTCGTTGTATTGCACTTAAAGGGGCATTAGCTACGAATTAGACAATTGTTTCAAACATTTATAAAAGCTGAATATAGAAATAATATTTCTCTGTTCACAGTCAGTTTGGTTCAGTTTTGTCAAATTAAGCTAAAAAAATCATCTCTGATATATTATTGGCTTGCAAGTCAATAATTAAACTCATTTGAATCTGTATACAGTATTCAACTTTTAATTTGACCTTTAGTAGATAAGGTTGCACATGTGTTCAGCAATGTGGTTCATTCATTAAAAAGAAAAGAATGTCATCATTGAAAAGTGAAACAAGGGAAACACCAGGAATAATCATTTCGGCCGTTTGACCTATTAGTAGATCTTGCCATGCTGATCATTTTTCATATTTTAAGTGTCATTTTATCTATAATAGTTTTCAAGATATAAGGCAAAAAAGGCAAATAATTGGTATTAAACGTAATTATATGGCATTAATTCCAATATTCCAATATGGATAATACAAAATTTCCTCCCGGAACCAATATGACACATTTCAGCATTTTTCATGAAAAAAAAAATATCCTAACAACCAAAATACCTACTCTTCTGGTCTGTGACTTCTTTTATCAAAGACTTTAGGTTTGTATTTTCTTGTTCTCCTGAAAATATATTAATGATAACCCATTGGTAAAGACACTTTAAGGTCTCATAAAAAAAAAATTTGTTCTTCTTTGTTTTGGTGAGATGTGCTTAAACTGGTGCTAGGGGATGTCTTAAACTTGCAGTGAGGTGAGAGTTTTTTGTTCTGTGTTGAAGGCCTCACAATGACTTTGAGATGAAGAACAGCGAAAAAAGCACCGTTCCTTTGCTTTTTATGTGTTTTTTGCTGCAATGTACTGATTTTGTGTCGTGGATGGATACCCCATATCCTTTGTTTTTCTATTCGAGCTAGCTATAAACAAGATTTATCCGATCATTTTCTTCAAGAAATGTACCGATTCTGGAATATGATAGTTGTTTTTCCAGTTGTTCTGTTGGTTAAGATAGGCTAGCATTTGGTTTTGTCAAGTTATAATGACTTCCCCCTTTTTTTAATTTACCCTGGAGTTTTTTTATTTTGGTAAATATATATTTTACAATACATCTCGTAATATTCATACTCTTGATTGTTTTTTTTGGCAGAAGTCAAAAAATTTGCACATCCTTACAATTTCAAAATTAATATCCTTAATAAATGACATAATCACTAAATAACCAGAATGTTAGTGCAAAATTTACCAGTATAACAAGGCCTCATTAAACTTTAGATTTTTTTTCAAACTTCAAAAACATAAATATGTAAGCATATAGAATTAACTAAATACATCTGATTTTTGTATCATCATTATTTCCAAAATTTATTCTAAATATGCATGAAATTTTTGCTTCAAGGGAGTAAGCAAACAACAACCAATTAATCCAAAATTCCAAATATTCTACGATACCACCATATTTTCATTAGAGTACATGCACCTAATTTCAGTACAAACACAAGAACAAAAATCATACAAATATCATTTTCTTGTCTTCTTCCTCTCTCAATCCTTATCATAGAATAATAACAATGTCAAATTTCTCAATAAATTAAAATTAAAATTAGACTTAAAATATTTTCATATGACTTACATTGTACATACTTATTTACAGTAATATGCAAAAAAGGCATTAAATACTTGACATTAAAGGGCATTTACAAATTCTTATCTGGTATCAGGTCACTCAAATGAAAGGTTATTATCTTTTAAGATATAGTTTAACTCAGAGAAAAATCTCAATTGAGTTTGATACATTCTTCACGTTCGATAGAAAGTAGTCTTAAGTCCATATGTTGACCTCTGATTTACTTTTTTTTTTATAAAACTGTAAAATTGAGCTAGTGTCTCCCTTGTGTTTACCTAAACATTAATCCATTTCATTAAAGGTGTTCAAAGAGGCATAACACATGCAAAAAAAAAAAACCCACAATATTTTGAAACATTATGATTATATTGAGTATTATATTATATAACATAATGATGATGTCATCAATTGTGCGACAAATTGCCAAAAACAAATTTCTAAGAATAAATAAGCAAAAAAAGGGACTAAAAACCCAATGTTCTTATAATTTAAGAACCCGTCTCATAAGCTCTAATTTTAACAGGAGATATTTATCTATTAAGGTAAATTAATCTTAATCTGTTTTACATTAGCAATTTTGATTTCAACAATAATAATTTCAAAGATCTCCTGAAACGATGCACACAGATTTGATCTGTTGTGAGAACATAGTTATAATATATAATATGTTTGAACTCTTAGTACTGAGCAGTATCTATTTACCTTGCTTGTACTCTAGGTTCTATAATACTCCTCTTCTGTAAACTCTTAAATCGATCTTCAAACAAATGGCCTTCTGGCTGTAGATGTGAGAAAATTACAGCATCAATATCAATATTTAATAAACATTAATATGACCTACAAGATCATGTACTTGATCCACCAAGACTTCATAGCAGAAAATACATCTATCTTAATTAGGGTAAGAAAATATTATGTAATCCAATGTGATATCAGCTGGGAAATGATGCATTAATTGATTAAAATTGTTTTGTATAAATGTTATCTGTTCTTCTAACTGTCATGGGACTATACATTGCAGTTGTTTTCTTATTGGTATTAATAAATACATGGTACCAAATAACAACCAATGAGTGACCTAATTTGTAAAAGTGCTTCAACATTAGCATACTAAAACCATAAATACAAATATACATACATATCAGTTTGATTAATTTTCATTTGATCAATAATTGCAATTTTAATAGAATATAAGGATACAACTACCTAAGGCAAATTTGATCCCTTAGTGTCAAATGCTACTCTTTTTTAACCCTTTTTATGTTATCTTTATACCACCAACATTCGGATGATATTTCAATCTATTTATAGCTGTTATGTATTATTAATGCTTCCCTCAGATCCTAAATATACAGAAATAAACTTTCTGGACCTTTAGTTTTTGAGCCAGGAGTTCCTCTGACCTTGACATGTCATTTCAAACCAACAAAGAAAACTAAAGTTATTATCTGGAAACTAATTTTTACAAACATTTTTATTTTTAGTAACAATGACTCTTCAACTAAAAAAATAATGTCCTCCCTACTATGGTAGGTGAGGCATACAATAAAGTTTGGGATTTTCATCAGATATCTAAACCAAAATTGAACTAAAAAACAAACAGCAATTTTTTTACGGCTGATAATACTCCATTATACTTCAGAAACTGAAAAGGGTCTAAATCAGTTAAATTTTCCAAATAGAGCAAACAGCAAGAAAAAAGCAGCATCATAGTCTGATTTGAAATAATTTTGTATATCAAAATTAGTGAAGTTGGTGCAACTCTTTTTCACCCTTTTTTTTTTAGAAACGTTGAGGACCAATATACCTGAAGGCAACACAGGAATTTCTTTCAGTATAACCTGCAAACTATAACTTAAGTTACTGTAAAATAAAAGTGTTTACAAATGGACAATGAAAAAAAAAAACAATACTGTGGATGTCTACAAGAATAATACTCACCTTTAAAAGTCTTAATGATCCTTCTAATTCATCTGTTAATTTAATTTCTAAATTTGGTTCTTCAAATCTATAATTCATTAAAGAAGACAATTTTCTCATTCTTTGGCATTATTTATTGTTCACATATTTCTTTTATAAATGGTGCTTATGGCATTATTCATTCTTTGGCATTATTTATTGTTCACATATTTCTTTTATAAATGGTGCTTCAATAGAAAATATAAAAGTATTTGTGTAATGCTATGAACTGGAGGCTCTTAGTAGTCTGAACTTCTCACCTGGCAAAAATACACCATTTTTAAAATTTTTCAAGTGAAAGCTAGGCCAATAAATGATTTATGTCTTATATATAGATATAAGAAGATGTGGTATGAGTGCCAATGAGACAACTCTCCATCCAAGTCACAATTTGTAAAAGTAAACCATTATAGGTCAAAGTACGACCTTCAACACGGAGCCTTGGCTCACACCAAACAGCAAGCTATAAAGGGCCCCAAAAATGACTAGTGTAAAACCATTTGAACAGGAAAACCAACGGTCTAATCTATATAAAAAACGAGAAACAAAAAACACTTATGAACCACATCAACAAACGACAACCACAGAACATCAGGTTCCTGACTTAGGACAGGTGCAAACAAATGCAGCAGGTTTAAATGTTTTAATAGGCGCCAACCTTCACCCTACCTTGTTTTTTTTTGTGCCAGGGTAACATTATTTATTTTGTTAAAAATCTTATCACTGATAAAAAAAATCTCCAAACAGTTCAAGCCCCCTCACCCTTTGAAAATCCAATTGTCTTCCACTTACTAGCTTTTGAATCAATATTGTTGTTTACAGTTTCTCTATATTCATTACTGGGGTATTGTTATTAAGATATATAAAAAAAATGCTTAGATGATGATTTTGTGAAGTGTTTATATTCAATAAAAGAACAAGAGTTCTAATGTCCCCAGTGTTGCACACATTTTATCTATCCAAGGTACAAGGGCAACAACTGTTCTTTAAAACGTTTTATAAATATCTTAGAGAAATGAAGGAATCAGAGCAAATGCAATGCAATTTCCTTTATAATTAATATTTCCAAAGGGCATAACTCGTTAAAAATATTTGATCATCACTTATTTTTTTTTAAGTTTCAAAGACATTGCTGATATAAACCTATGATATAAGTTTCATAAAATTCTGGCAAGAATTGTACACATGAGAGCACTAACAATGCAATTTTCCTTGTAATCAATATTTCCAAGGGGCATAACTTTTTTTATAAATAATTGATCGGCACTGATTTTCGAATTTATCCTAGACATTGATAATATAAACCTATAACATAAATTTCATAAATATCTGGCAAGAATTGTACACATGAGAGCCATAACAATGCAGTTTTCCATATAATCAATATTTCCAATGGCCACAACTCTTTTAAAATAATTAATCGGCACTGATTTTGGAACTCGTCCAAGACATTACTAATATAAACCTATGATATAAGTTTCATAAAAATCTGGCAAGAATTGTACACATGATTTAGCGCTTACGATGCAATTTTCCATATAATTAATGTTTCAAAGGGGCATAACTCTTTTAAAAATAATTAATCGGCACTGATTTTCGAACTCGTTCAAGCCATTGCTGATATAAACCTATGATATAAGTTTCATAAAAATCTGGCAAGAATTGTACATGTGAGAGCGCTAACATAACCGGACGGACGCCCGGTATTTCTATGTCCCCTACAACTCAGTGGACAATTAGAAAATTTAGCATATTTTTAACAATAATGAATATAGAGAAGGGGATTAGCTATGATTTAGACAAAATTAATAAACATATGATATTTATTTGTTTCAAATGTTCACAACTGAAATAATATTTAGCTATTAGCAGTCAGTCTAGTTCAATTTTGTTAAAATTAAGCTCAAAAACATCGCTGATGTGTTATTGGCCTGGTCTGTTTATTTATATTATTACATAAATGTTTATATCTGGTCATATAATGGTTAATTAGATGGTGCCTAGTCTAAAATATGCATGATATGATGATACATCAAAGCAAGTTCATGCATAGTCAATTATTTCTTTCAGACTTTTTGTAATTTAAATATATGTTTTAGTATGTTATAAATTAAATATAAAAATTTGAGTCCAATTGGTGAACATGAATTTGACAGCTTACTCCCCATATAAGAAACTTTAAAGATGTGATATATAAAGCATTAACTTTCATTGTTGGTAATGGACCATGCAATTCATCAGATGCAATCATTAAACATTTTCAGTACTTTCATTGAAGCTAGGTACATTAAAGAATTCTCACATTAAATAATGAATACATTAATTTTACATATATTTGTGAAAAAAATATGTTGTAATACAGTTCATCTCTGACAAATAATCATAGATCTTAATGTATAATATTTATTGGAGTCAAAATAACAAAATAAGTAAATGTAATAAAAGTATGATCTTAGATACTATACATTCAAAGAATCTGTATATATCATAACACTATACTGAAGGTAATGTATTCTGAACTTGAAACACAGAATTATAATCCAATAAAAATCTGCATTTAAGCCCATAGAAAATTTGAACTTGGTTTAACAGCTAAATTCGTGGTTCACCAATACTATTGATGTGTATTACCCACACAATTATATAGTATCAATAAAGAAAGTTCAGATTCATGTTACCAACAATTTACGCATGAATGACTCTGGTTAAGGTTAAACATCAAACATTAAATTTAGCTTGATGTTTATGAAAACAGATGACACAAAAATATTTGAGGGATATTTGTGTTAACAGATACCCAGAAATCTAGGAAAATTGGTACTCAACAAAAAAAATGAATACACAGTATGTTCTATTAATGAGTGAAAAATTGGCTAAAATATGAATCTTTAGTTAGACCATAACCAGAGTCATTCATCCATAAAATGATAAGTATCTGAATATGAATTTTTTTTACTGACAAAATATAATTCCTCTATACCTTGCAGTTGTTTTTAGATCTGATCTTAAAGGGAAAAAAACTTAGTCATGGATGCATAAAAATTTATTTTGATGTTTGTGATGACACAAAACTATTTGAGACATATTTATGTTCAAGGATACTTCATTTTTCCAATTTTTCTTGTCTTTGTTTTATTTTTAGCTTCTCTTTTCAGTCTTTCTTCTTTCTTCTGTTCTACCTTCTTTTCTTTTTCTTTTACTTCTTTTTTAATTGATTTCAATCTGTAAAATATGAAAATATCTCTATTATGCTCATAATACATGTTTTTTCAAAGGGAATTTTTTTGTAATTTTCTTTTACTTTGGCAATGTTCCTTTGAAGTACTATTTGAAGACAACTTAGACGGGGAATTATTAATACAAAAGGCAAACCTCTTTTAGAAAACTGGTGTAAGCTTTATCTTAATGCTGATAACCTTAAAAAAACATTTAGTTTATTCTTTTTCTAATGTTCTGGAGAATTAAAAAAAAAAATTTCAACATACCTAAATATTTCATTTGCCCTTAGTTTTTTCACTTTATCGTTATGCTGTAACTTTTCCTAAAATAGAAAATTTTACATGTATAAATCTTTAATGACAGTCTGGAATGACAAAAAAATGGCAATTTATTCTTTAATAAAGAAAAACGTGTCTGTATTGTGAAAAGAGCTCAGTGTTCTCCCCAGGCCCTTAAAGGACCGCGGGCCCGCGATGTATAATTTTCTACCGTGGTGGTATTGTTCTTGTCGCGATGTATAATTTTTCTCCGTGGTGCTAAAATTTTCGGTAAAAAAATCGTAAATCGGTAAAGTTTTAAACGACTTGTTAAACCTTTCCGTGGGGTATAAAATTTCAGATGAAAATTGACCAGTTCAAACAAGTTCAAACAACTAGATTGTTTACACCACGTGATCGATTTACCTTTTGAGGTTAACCTTGATGATTGGATTTAATCGATGTACATGATTCTTTTGTGTTTTAATTAATTAAGAGATCATAATTAATGATCAGACTTGTGAGGCTCAAGCAGACATTTGTTAATTAACTCTATTACTCCAGCCTTAGGTTATAAATAATTTGCGTATTTTAAACGTGTTTGAGTTACTTCCCCTGAATTAGCTTATTACAAATAAGTGCTCCTAAAATATTATCTATCATTGAAAATAGAAATAAAGTACAAATTGAATGCAAAATTATATAAGAATGTTACCTTAAGGATAAAAACTTTCTTTGAACATACCAACAAAAATATATTGCAAATTATTTTTGATAATCATACTTTAATTAATGCACAGACATATTATAATAAATAGGTAGTATTTTCCAGTTGGTAACTTATTTGAGTTAAAGTAGTCCCAGTCTTTAGACACTGATTGGAACTCAGCTTGATATGATATGTGGGTGTACATATAGATGATGTAAATTTACTTTTCATGTCTATCTACCAAGTAACACAATAATGATTCTAATAATAATTGTATTGTTGTTTAAAAGAATCATGTCTAAAGCTATGGAAAATAGTTTTTAATTTACTAGAGGTTCTGCATTAAAATTTAATCTTGTTTAAATTTAATTGTTATATGGTGTAATCTAACAAAAATGGGGAATGTGTTGTGTAACTACAAGTATCAGGACAAATTGGCTTGATCAAAATATAAAAAGTGACTTAAGTTTAAAGACTAATAGTGCTTTCTTTTATTTATTCTTAAAGTATACAAACTGTTTATTGATTTACTTCTTTTATTACCAGTAATTTTTTGACCCAAAGTCTACATAACACAGTAAACAAAACAAAGACAATAAGGTAATGACACAAAAACTAACAAGAAAAAAAAAAGCGATGCAACGCCACACAACATATTGTACAAATCATTTTGACACGCGTTACCCTGGTGCTATCCAAAAATCCTGGGGAGAACACTGGAGCTAAAAAAAATTTATATCAATACCTTTTACAAAATCCATCAAAAATTTTGTCAAGAACACAATATACAATTTAAGCTGAATACAATAACTATTTTGTATTGAACAAAAGTGAATTGATTAATTGCTGTTTGTTTGTGTCCACTGGAATATATTTCATGCAGATAGAGGATGATAATAAATCAAACAGTAAATTGTCAAAGGTGGGTTAGATGAAATGACAGAGTTAAATCTGTACAAGCCAAATCAGACCAATGTGAAAGAAGGGTATAACTTTTATTTGAAATATGTACTTGTTGCTTTAATTTCTTTTCTTTATTTCTTTGTATTTTCGTCTTTTTCTTTTCTCTTTGAACAGGAGGATTGACAGATATTTTATCAAGGTCAAGGTCACCAATATCATTATCTTCTACAGTATCATCATCAGCAAGTCCAGCAGACATTTCTGTCAACCATGTTTTCTGAAAAAAATGTAAAAATTAAATGCATGTTCAACTAGAATGCATGTAATGCTGTGCTTAGCAACCCCCTAATTCAAAGTACAATGTATTGGCAAACAGGAAGTAGGTATCTGACAGATCTGAAATGTGCTCAATAATCAACATCAAATGAGTTTATCTTTCAATGGCATTATTACATTTTTCCCTGGGTATCAATTGATAAAAGTTGTGCCCCAACCCCCTCCAAAAAAAAAACATTTATTAGAAACATTACTACTGGATGTGTAACTACTGCCATTTTTCCCTTGCTTATTTGACTGCTTTATCAATAAGATAAGATAACACAAACATATGTTAATATTTTTCTGTTTACCTACCTCAAAATTCCTTCCATATATGAAAATAAGAATATGTAGTATAATTTCCACTGAGACAACTATCCATCAAAAGATGTGACAGTGAATTTATACATGTCATGTTTGCCTATAAATTCTCAATTACCCATCTATATGTAAAAGAATAAATGAAGGGGATATTGCAAGGATAGGGTGATCAATATAAGTTATTTGATATTTTACCTTTAAATTTGTATGTTGTCTAATCAACACTAACATAACAAAATAAGACACAACAGCTTTATTATTATAGCATTATCCCTCCATGTGTTCATAAATTTGCTGGCCTACTTTATTACATTGTAATAAGAGCCAATTATGAACTGTTTTAATCAAAGTTGCTCAGACAGAACTTATTGAAATCGAAGATAAAAATATCTTAATCAAGCTGTGGGCAATTCTATTCCAATTTCTGACTATTTTTAAACATATGTAACATTCTTTAAAGATTTGACTGCTTGAAAAGAAGAAACTAGTAAACACATGAAATATTCATGTTAAGTAACTCACATATATATCAATATTACCTCTAACTCTGCTTTGTCTAAACTTTTAAATTTAGCATCTAATGCATTGTAAATCTTCTTTTCTATTTTTGTTTTCTTTACTTCTACATTATGTGCTTTCTCAATCAATGCCTATAAAAAACAAAGTTTATATGAGTAGTTTCAAAATTGACTTGATTGCAATCCATCAGAAAATGAATACATTAAATTAATGTTTATACATCTGTAGAACATAAAACACAAATTATAATGGAAACTGCAAAGTAAAATTATTAGTTGACAAAACTATTGTGACATTGACTACCTCTTATCTATAAAGTATTATGTCTATTCTGACTAACCTGATAATCATCTAATGCTGGGTCACATCATGATAACTAATTTGTTGTTTATTTGAAGTAAAGGGTGTTTTGGTAAAACTCCAAGGAGTTTGACATATCTATATGGACTAACATTATAGTCATCAAGTGCTGGGTTGTATTAACCTTTTTTGTGTCATTTCTCTACCAAGTTACTTCATCTGATGCTATTTTACACAAAACTACAGTGCGTTTGATATTTCTGTCATAACTAACCTCATAATTATGTAATACTGTTTTATATGAAAAGTTATGATGTGTCTGACATTTATATTGACTAACCTGGTAATCAGTTAATTCTTGGTTAGATGAGGCTCCATGGTGTTGTATTTCTACACTGACTAACCTGGTTAATATCAGTTAACTCTTGGTTAAATGAGCCTCCAGAGTGTGGTATTTCTATGCTAACTAACCTATTGATCATTTAACTCTTGGTAAGATGAGGCTCCAGAGTATGGTATTTTTATACCTTATATTGAGTTATATGAGGCTCCACAGATAACTCGGTTAAATGAGGCTCCAGAGTGTGTTATTTCAATACCAACTAATCTGGTAATCAGATAACTCTTGTTTATATGAAGCTCCAAGTGTGATATTTCTATACTGACTTATAATATCCTTAAACTTATATTTTAATTCTTGGTTAGATTTGGCTCCAGGGTGTGGTATTTCTATGCTGACTCATCTTATAATGAGTTATATGAGGTTCCAGGGTGTGGAATTTCTATGCTGACTAACCTGATAAGTATAGATTATCAGGTTTTCTATACATTTATATCATAAAATATCAACTATGATCCATAATGTGAACCTTTTTGCGAGTAAGCTTCACATTGTGTCGAGCGGTTGTTATTTAACTATATCTATATGTAGAAAACCTAATAACTTGTTTATTGTTCTATTACTGGCCTTTCCAGCATCCTTAAGGGGCAATTTAATGCTTGGCAAAAGTAATCTTGATAACATCTCCTCACAAATTGTGACATCACTGATAATTTCTCCTCAGACATTGTGACGTTGCTTATAATGTCTGCTTACATCGACAGGCAAAGAGAAGGACAATAATGAGTTATATGAGGCTAACCTGATAATCATCGAAAGCTGGGTTATATGATGCTCCAGGGTGTGGTACTTCTAAACCGACTAACCAGATAATCATCAAACGCTAGGTTAAATGAGGCTCCAGGGTGTGGTACTTCTAAACCGACTAACCAGATAATCATCAAACGCTGGGTTAAATGAGGCTCCAGGGTGTGGTACTTCTAAACTGACTAACCAGATAATCATCAAACGCTGGGTTAAATGAGGCTCCAGAGTGTGGTACTTCTAAACCAACTAACCAGATAATCATCAAATGCTGGGTTATATGAGGCTCCAGGGTGTGGTATTTGTAAACTGACTAACCTGATAATCAGCAGATGGTTATACCAAATAATCATCCAATGCTGGGTTATATGAGGCTCCAGGGTGTGGTATTTGTATACTGACTAACCTGATAATCATCAAATGCTGGGTTATATGAGGCTCCAGGGTGTGGTATTTCAACAGCTGAAACAAGTGTTGGTTTTTCTCTGTGATGTTTTGGAGGCTGTAAAATATTGAAAAACAAATTTTTCATTTTTCAAAATATTTTAATAAACTGATGCTAACTGATAATACTGTAAATTCAGAAATGATTGCATGCAGATCTATATGTTTCAGTTATCAGAATGTGAGTTCTTATCATTGCGATCCTCACTCAGTCGCATTATTTGCATTTATAAAAACCTCGCAATAATTTCTGAATTTACAGTATTTGAAGTAAATACCTACATGTTATTAAAGATTTGTCTTAACTACATGAGAATATTAACAGTACTTGTATATTTCAATGTTTAGAACAATATGAATATAACTCAATGAGTAACAGTTGGTATCTTAAACCTAGGATCACATAAAGATAAGGAGAGGTGGTGTGATTGTCAGTGATGCAAATAACAACCAAAGACCAAAAAATACTAGAAAAGATTTTTCTGATTGATAAGATGTCTAGGAATTGGAGAAAATGTTTTTTATAAGTTAAGTCCATATGAATGAGTCAATTTATTGGACATATTTTTTCTTGTTGAAAATTCTTCAAAAACCAAAAGTTGTGCTCCAGTGAATAATATTGAATTGTGGAGCAACTTCAGTTTGAATTTTTCCAGCAAGAAGATGGCCAACAACATTATTACATGAAGCAGGGTCCAATCATGGTAAAGAGGCATTTCACAGTAACAATGACAATCTCCTGTTTAACAACCAAGATTTATGTCTGATAGTTTCACATGTGATCTAACAACAAGTTTCCCATGGAATACATCAACAACTTTTCTTCAACTTCAAAACACTTGGCAAGTTGCCAAATTGTTCGTGCCAGCAGTTTGTATTGTAAATACACCTATAATAATTCATTATTTATATATTTTATAATTTAATATTCATTTATTTAATGTTACAGTACAAATTTCGCGAAAGGCTTCCCAAACTCCAAACACCAAGTTTTTTCTTGGTGTGACACCAGGAAACTCCAACATCCCTCCCTAAATTCTCGGAGAAATTTGGGAGTATTCCCTCCGACTTCCGCGTAAATTCGCTACCTTTTGTTAATTGTATTAGCGACATCTCTCCCAGTCCGGTGTGACGCGGTGTCACACCAGGTAATTAATTGCCCTAATCCTTCTGATCTATACCGGCACGCGACAGTCAAGGTATGTGAGATTACTTATGTAATTAAACAATTGTATTTCCTGTCTATTGATAATCAGGTTATACTTCTGATTGCTTGAAACAAATAAAAGATTTAAAAGCAAAACGTTGTTGTTAATTCTTTCAATTACACTGTACATTTAAAAATAGTTTTATTAAAAAAAAACTATATTTGATTTTACCTCGTTTTTTTTCTGGTCAGTAAATTAATATTTCATTTACAAAAGAGATATACTTGTGTTAAAATAAACGGAGACTTACGCTGAATAAATGTGGGCAGTTTAAAGGAAAATTACATGTCTCAAAGTTTTGTATACAAGTAAAAAAGAAAATATTATTCACTATTCCTTATGCTAATAAGTCCACGCCATTTTCATTTTACGATTACATAATTGCTTGAAACAAATTAAAGATTTAAAAGCAGAATATTGTTGTTAATTCTTTCAATTGCATTAAAGTTTTATAACAAAAACTATACTTGATTTTGACCTTGTTTAAGTTCATCGGTAAATTATTTTATTTACGAAAAGAGACATACTTGCGTAAAAATAAACGGAAACTAACGCTGAATATAAAAGTGAGCAGTTTAAAGAAAATTATGTGTCTCAAAATTTGTATATGCAAGTAAAAAAGAAAATACTATTCACCATTCGTTATGCTTAATAAGTCTACGGCATTTTCTCTTTACGATTTGTTGGCATTACTTTAGGATAAATAATTACATTTCGGCTACAACAGGAATACTTCTATAGCTGCATCAACTCCTCGTTGCATAATATTCATTTACGAACAATGAATGTAAACTTGTGTGTTGTATAAAGGACAGTGATTTTTAAATTTTTTAAAAGAAATTAATTGCCGTGGGAAGACGATACACATCTCAGTGATCAACAGTCCGTGGTTGAACTTTGAACTTGACTTCGCTCACAATATTGAATGCTAAAAATAGTGACATCAATTTTGTCCACGAGATTTTTATTTGGCGGGAAATATTATCACGTAACGGTAAACTCAGGTGACCTTTCTGGATGACCGTGGGAAAATTCATTCGGGGTTTAAATTTGCTTTGGAATGATTGACATTTGTATGCCTTAAGATTGAGGCTCTAGAAGGTCCTTTTACAATTGATTAACTGGAATCTAAAATATAATCCTTTTTTGAATAAACGAACACCAGCCTTTTAATTTTACGTTTCTCAGTCAACACAGGACATAAACCTGGACATTATTTATACGTCCATGGTCAACAATATACATAAATGGTAGATGAAAACAGGATGCATGTCGTTCATTTCCTGTTGGGCGTTGGTAGAGATCCTTTGTGAAAATGTGTAGATCATAAAAATCCGATCCACATTTTTTTCACATATTTCTTTCTTGTAGAACACGATATAATTTCATTTAAATATTCTATATTATTAATTGTTGAAATACTTCTTTTTTTTATTTCGCCAAGGACCTTTAACGAGCAGTAAAATACGAATTGCGCCCATCCAATTTTATTTTAAATAATAAAGGATCAATAACAGATCATAACAGAGATAAACAACACATGATTTTTTTTTCTTCATATAATTAAATTAGGTTGTGATTATTGTGTTGTGTCTGGGCGGGGAATGTCTCTCAGTGTTGTGTTTTTATGAATATAGGGCACATTGCATACAAAACGTTTTCCCTTCGTTCAACAGAGTTGTCACTTTACAGTTTCTTTTCTGAGTTCAAATATTTCAAGTCGGTAATCTACCAATGTAGTGAAACATAATATTTTACATTGCAAAATAAATTGAAAGTAACAGAGTTCACTTGTTGATCCGATAAATTAACTCTTGGGTTTAGATTGGACAAATTACCGTAAAAACATCATTTTGACCGGACTATAATAAAAATACAAAATAAGTGTTTTATTCGTATTTTTATAATGTACGTTTGTACGTTTTATTTCAAATGACAATGACATGGGGCAAATACATACAAGAATAATTATCTTATTTTGAATGAAAATGTCACATTTTTATCTGTCAAAGAAAGGAAATTTTAATACTGTGTTTTAAAGCACACAGATGCAATCAAGATCGATTAAATGTACAAAGGTAATAAATCTGGCTAATCCGATTATGTTGTCACGCGTCATTAATTTTCAGTACATCCGATGGGCAATAAACCAATTAACAGCCACGCCGTGTTGGGAGAGAATCTTTGGAGGAAATTGGGAGTATAATCCGTGATTCGCGGTGTGACACCGCTACACCCCGAAATCCGTGATTAGAGTTCGCCATTACAAACTCTCTGTGCGTACTGTATCTTTATTTCAAAAATGAAATGAACCTATGAATTTCCATTTTTGCAGAGTATATGTAAATATATCTTAATATGTTTCATTAAACACTCCAAAATTGATTGTTTATCACATGAACAATCAAACAATTTTAATAAAAACACATACATTGAATTTTTGCTTCTTTACTGGTAAATCCTCTTCTGTATTTTCTGAAAATTAAAATAAAATATTTCATTTATCACTGATCAAACAAATTGTATAGATAAACAAAATTTGCAATATAGCATGGGGAAGATAAAAATACCTTTCCAGGTCAAGAAAAAGATTTCCAAATTTTTATCTGCTGCTTATTAGCTAAGTACACAAATCTATTAGTACTATCAAAGACAATTCGGCTTGGAGTCAGAAAAATGTGCATATGTTGGATTATGTTTCCTTCTAACAGTTACCTTGTGAGCTAGTATTTTTCTAAGCTAAGCAGGTCAATTTCGTAGAAAGATGGAGAATGATTTATCCCCGTTGAAGAAACTAAAACATTCAAAATTTGTCATGATCAGCTTCAGTCGAAAATATTGATGTCCAAAAGAGATTGCTTTCAAAGTGTAATAAAGTCAACAGACCCCAAATTGAGTTCAGGGGTAGTAAAGCCCTACAACTTGAAATTGGAGTATTCAAATCATATCAATATTTTCTCATCCTGACTATGGTTGAAAGATTTCCCACTGTATATTAAACATTATTCACAAAGCAAAAGTTTCATGCTTATTGGAACTGTACATACAGAAATTAGTGTGAATTGATTATTTAGATTTTTGAACAATGGAAACAAATGTGAGGTTAGTTAATTGAGATTTCAGTTAATGGTGCATACAAACAATACTATTAAACTTTAAAATGTGAGTTTTTATTTTTGCAAAACCTATCCTGTCACAATTTTTTAAATTTAATAAAAACAGCACTTAAATTTCTAAATATATTTATTGTATTTATCCTCATTCCAAAATAAATAAAATGTGTAAGAAATCTATGTATTTTACCGCATTTTCAATTAGTCAAAGAGCGACAACTCTAACATATTCGGAAAACTCTGGATAATAGGCAAAAATGAAAAAAACTGGTAAAAATTGTCATTATAGGGCAACAACTTCAATAAGGAGTTGTCTGGCAGTTTTGATGTAAATAGACAGAAGGTAGATTTGTAAGAAGTTTAGAACATTTGCAAAATGTCAAAATGTAAACTGAGAAGTGAAAATGCTTCTATCCTTTGATAATTGTTAAACTTACGGTTGATACAACTGTAAAAGATCAGTGCAATGGAATTGCTCCCAGGGATTACTTGAGAGAACTTCCAGACTCTCTTTGAGATGAAACATACATGGAACAAAGTATGTGAGCTTTGTTGGTACAATCAAAGATAAGACTTGTACAATCTTTGATGAAATAAAACAAAAATGATGTCTCGTAACTTTTAGTTGGAAACAACTGTATTGAAATTTATGTATTCTGACACAGAACAGATTGTCGAAATATGCCTTCTGAATAAAGCATGACAAAAGATGATCATTGATGCAACTGTTCTATCTGATTATTTAAGAATATAAACTGAGATATGAACAGACAAAAAGAGGCATTTCCAAAAGGACAATAATCCAAAGAATAAATTAAAGTTTGATTTAGATTTAAAAAGAGACTGATTAAGATTATTGTAATTGTGCCAAAGCTAAGGTTGCAATTCCCTCCAGTAATGTTAATCATAGACAGGGTTGTATTTATAGTTCCATTTCAATGTTTTTGGTTATCTATGAAATTAATAGGTGTTAATTGCAGGTCTTTGGAAGTCTTTGTTTAAATTTTATCTTAACTTAATTTTACTGGACAAAATTTTATTTTGGCATTCAGTATAGCACTGTGGTGGTTAGATATGTCAGTTTCATGTCACATACATTTTGTACCTCATTGTCGAAATAAAAACAACTTTCCTTTCAGATTGTTACAAGTTGTATATTTTTAGAAAGCCAACAATACATTCTCGGTTATGCTTTGAAATTATGCTGTTCCAGAGAAATTCGTTTTCTGCCAAATTTTGTCCTGACAAGTTATTTGTCTTCTCCATGTTGCAACGTGTTGTATTTACTTTTGATTTTGTAATTTTTTTATCACCCCTTGTATTTCATTTTTTAACAAGAAAGAATTGTGTTAAAAAAGAACTGGTTAACATAAAACAATACCAATACCAGGTGTGGATCTGCGTTGCTGCATGCAATTGATTGAGGTTACATGTATAACAGAGCATAACTGATCATATCCAGACCAAATATGAAAATCATTCACTTCAATTGGAGCCAAAAAAAATTTACCAAAAACTTCCATTGCACAACAAGTGTTGCAAAATTTCAAACTATCGTCAATCAGGAAGTGGCTACACGTCAGATGTAATAAAGAGCTGCGCCATGAGTGCATGATACACCCGTGGCTTTTTCAATGATTAAAGTTCCATAACTCCTCAATGTCATATCAGAAATTTATAAAAAACTAAAGGGAGCTTATTTTAATAGATATAAACCAGTCACTAAAGTTTCATGAAAACTGCTCAAAACGTTTTTGAGTTATAGTCCAAAAACTGAAAAATCCCCCCTTTTTTATGAATAAAATCCCACAACTCGGAAACGTAAAATCTAAAATTCATAAAAATAAAAAGGAAGCTTACGTCAATAGATATAAGCCATTCACCAAAGTTTCATAAAAATTTGTTAAAGCGTTTTTGAGTTATTGTCCGACATGTTGACGACAGATGGACGGACTGATGGACAGACCATGGTTTACCATAATATGTCCCGTAAATGGACGTATAAATATTGCTTACTTACTACAACTCAACATTATCAAGCTTAGAAATCTTTGACGAAAATTTTCCTTGTAGGATGAGTGTTGTAAAATTTCAAACTATCAGCACACAGGAAGTGGCTACATGGCCAATGTAAAAATTGCTTTCTCCCTACAACTCAACATTATCAAGCTGCAGATCTCATATTAAATCATTCCCTTTCACAGAAGCTGAGAAAAACAGAGTTGAGAAGTTACTACATATAAATATGCTTCCGCCTTCAGCGACACAGGTAAAACAATATAAATACGAAAATTGAATACCAAGCCGTCTCATCCATATTTAGAAGTCATTGTCTGAGAACCAGAAATTTTTTTTGACATGGCCTCATGGACAAAACTTGCATTTAACACCTATATTCATTAGACACAATTTTTAACTAGATACCCAAATGATGGTTGTGGCAAAGTTTTGGTTAAATTTGGCCCAGTAGTTTCATAGTTTATGATCTTTATAAAACTTAATAGACGAAAAATCACAACGACAACAAACGCCAAGTAATTGCAAAAGTTCACACTAGCACTTTTGGCAAAGTGAGCTAAAAAGCAGCATTAAAAATTCTGAAAATATATATCAACTACATATACCATCACTCTTGACATTTCACAACAATATTTAGTATTTTTTACCAGTAATTTGTTCTCATAAGTCGTCCCTGAAATTTATTTATATATATGCATACCAGTGCCCCACAAGTCGTAAGATTTTTTAAACAATCTGTGTTCTTTCCTCCTTGTTTCCCTTTTCAGTCTACGATCTGTGCGACTTTGTTTTTCAGCCTGTATTTCTGTCTTTGTTTTCTTTCCACTTTTTATTCTTTCCACCACTCGTTCATGTCTTCTTTCTACACCAGGTTTTCTGAGATTATGTGCACTGTACCAAAAGTAAAATAAGAATAGTTGTGATACAGTATCATACTTTCTAACTCTATTGCAATAGTTAGTTTTCTTTAATTAGACAAACTGAATTCTGGATACCTTCTAGAGGGCTATGAATGTAAACCATTTGAGAAAAGCAACTTTTGAGTTTATAAATTTATTACACAATATCACTTCATGTACTTGCCACTTCAATTTGTATTGTTATATATATTGTATTGTGGAGAAGACTTTATAAGTATGTTTTACTTGTGTCTGATCCTTTTTTGCTTTGAGCAAATAAAATATGTTTAAACTAAATGTACTTGCCAAATTTGAAGAAGTGATGAAACCAATTTTTTTATTTATTCACATCAGTTTCTATTTTCTAATAGTTTATTATCAACAGAGAATTTCAATAAATTTTTCTTCTTTACATTTTATCTACATGTATGATTTCAAAATCATTTACAAGACTTCACATTCAGTGGAGAAGTAAATAAGTACAGAATTAATGTTACAGCATGAACCATTCATATATCATGTTAAACAATTTTTCTTGCTAGTGTTCAAGCAATTTTGATAAAAATAATGACATTTTTTAAAAAAACCTTTTGTTATAATCTTTAACATTTGAAAGAGTGACACCTTGAAAACAGTTGGTAATTACATAAAATTGAGAATGGAAATGGGGAATGTATCAAAGAGACAACAACTTGACCAAAGAGCATAAAACATGAATGGTTTATACTATAAATGATCATGATGATATGCAGTAATTATTAGCTTACATTCTGGCAGGTTTTATCCTTGGATCAAATTGTAAATGAGAATGACATTTCAATATTTTTGTATCTTTCTTCTTTCTCTTTCTCTCTGAAAAGTAAAAAATGTTCTGTTTAAAATGAAAGGAAGAGTGGGTAAATAAAATAGAACTAGAGGCCATCAAACTGCTTTCAACTATAAAAAGCATCCACAATTTTTGACAAGCCCTAAATTTCTCCAATTTCTTGACTGTACATTTCTTTTTACATGTAGCTGGGAAATTAATTGAAGAAGGGATACAGTGTATTAATTCAAGACATATTTTTTGTTTTGTTTAACATGTTTAAGGTTAGTTAATCATAGAGTTATAATGTTCTATACATTTGTACAATTCTATTTAATTTTAAGGCATCACCAGAGCCAAAAGAAAATCCTAGTCACAACCAGTAAGTAAAATTCACTGTACCAATCTTATGAATGCCCCAAGTGAGTTTTAAAAATGTCTTCATCTTGGTGTTTAGTCTTTTTGTGATCTTTATAAATGTACCAAAAGTTACATATAATTCAGTTATTTGTTAATTGGCCACCAAAGCCCCTTAATACAAATTGTGAAAGAATTATACTTGAGTATCCATAATAAAACATATAAATATATATATTTGTCTTTAAAAACAAGCAATAATCACACAAGAAACAGTAACAAAATTCACTTTAAAGTCTATGAACATGTCTACTAGCTTCATAAAATAAGATGTACATATCGACCCCAAATACATTTTACAGAATATAAATGTGTTTAATCATTGGAATTTCAAATACAATATGATTCTAAAGAAACATACGAATCTGTGGTTCCTCCTCTGGAGCTTTGTCAACAATAAACAACTGTTCATCTTTCTTCTCTGCAACCAAACCTCTACAAAAAAAAACCAAGAAAAATATTCTATAACATGTACAACAAGGACTGTGATTTGCAATGACATAAAATCAGTTTCAGAGAAGGAAGAAGGTTTCAATAAGTATATAAAAATTCTATCATTTTGTGACTAAAATCATAAGTGACAGTAACATACCATGCCCAAAAAACACACTAGTACCTCACTTCTCTTTGCTACAAATTTAGAAATATAAGTAGTAGTCTGATTCTCAGGTGCTGAGCCTAACTTTTGACATTCCTTCATATGCTAGAACAACAATTTAAAACTGAGATCCTGTTTAATGTGAATTTATGTCTGTTTACTGGTACTAAACCGTTTGTAGAATTGAATTAGTATACTATTCTCTGAAAATATACAGTAATGTCATGTTTACTATTGCAGCGGTGATTCCCCTTACCTAGAAGATATATAATTGCCCTCCACTAGTGGAGTACTCCTTTAGCTCAGTTGGTACTTTGTAGAGCAGTGGCTTAATTGCTGTGTAAGGGGTTCAGCATGTTTAGGGATCTATTCAAGCTGGTACAGTAATGAATTTTGAAAGGCAAGTCATGATCTACGATTACAAAATTGGGGCCCCAACACCAAAACACATGATTAGAAGAAATACCTAGCTAGGGGAAGTGTTGAAGATTATATATCGTCATTATAGTATAATTATTCTTGTTGTGGGGGAAGTGTAGCGCTGCTTCCCCTTACCAAGAAAATATATAACCACCCTCCCTAGCTGCGCTTGTGGAATTTTCCTTTAGCTGAGTGGGTAGAGCGGTGGCTTACTGTGCCAGGGATCCTTGGACCGAATCACAGCAGATGCAGTAATAAATTTTGAAAGGCAAATCATACTCTACAGTTACATTATCGTCATGACCATCACTATCACTTTTGGTTATTTGTCTTGTTAGAAACAATTTGATATATCACTTAACATCGAAATAAAAAAAATTGGGGTTATCAATCAGATAATTTGGTATTATTTATCACAACTGCAACTGTAAATTATTGATAAATACCCTGTCCTTTCTTGTAGTCTTTGGTCTTCTAAAAACTCTTCCACTTCTGTAATATCTGTCTTTTTCCATCCCTTCTTCTTATTTTTACTTATTCTAAGTTTCTTTCTTGTCTGCTGTTTATTTTCCATTTTGTTAATCTGTTGACTTTTCTACACGTGCAACTGTTGACATCGGGTTATCTCCACTTGATGACCTAAAATATGACCGAAAACCACAACACCGTATTTGTATCTAGACCAGGTTAATGCAATTTATTAAATTAATGAAAGGTTTATTGGAACAAAATTATCTTATTTGATTCCCAAAACAATAGTTATTATCGTTAAAATTATTAATTTGCAATGTCAAGTACAATTAATAACGGAATTGTACAAAAAAGTATGATTGATACAACATAAAACCAAAAAGAACCAACAAAAATAGACAGTTTACACCTACACATTTAAAAGTAATATCACATAATGACATAGTTCCCGAAATTGGCAACTATCGGTAATTTTTTAAAGAAGCTGTTAACACTATGTGTGTTAATATTAAATCTCATTTTTCAAGAATATGATTCTATAAATCTGTTTGCCAAAAAAAAAACTATTTTAGTATTTAGCATTAGAGACAAAGATAAAATAAGTCTCTGATTTAATCATATTAAAAGAAAATAACTTGTGGATTCATTTTATTTCAAAGGATTAGAAATATTTTTGAAACATTTCTTAAGTCAATACCTATTAAATTAAAAAAAAAACTAAATATTGAATCTCTTAACATTTTTTTTATGAAAACAGTTAACATATAGATGTTCTGCCTAGGGAAAGAAAAGGAAACAACATGTTATAAATTTCATGCATCTGAAGTGCTTTTCTGGATTTACCTTCATTAGGAATGCTCAAAGCAGAATATTTGAAAACCAAGAATGTAATACTATAATAACCTAAACAGTTGAAGAGCTACATGACCAAAAAGGACCTAGAAATATAGCCAAATATATCTAAGGTCAACTTTACCTGAGGGTGTTGAAACCTTAGTTTCTTATAATTTCAAAATTTATTAATGGACAATTTTAGAAAATTCTGTTATAAATCCGGTCAGTACTGACTCATATATATACCGAGCTGATGATACCCTCTGGGACTGATAGTCCACCAGCAGAGGTATCAACCCAGTGCGGTAAAAAGATTAGTTATATTTAACCCTTTTCATTTTTGGATAGAATTTTTTTTTTTCTAAATTGAGATTGTTAAATATTTTTCTTCTTTTATTTTATTTGTTGTAGATTAAAGAATTTGTTGAGTCTAATTGTATTAAACAATTCATGTCTCTGTACTAATTTTCCTGACAATATTTAGAAGTTTAAAATCTAAATCTTTGTACTCATGTTTAAAAAGTCAGATTTGGACATCATGAAAAGGACAACCCCTACAATATATGCATCTAAATAAAATTATAGGACCCTCCAATCAACAGATCAATAAATGTTATACAGACAGTGTCATAAATGAGAACCTGAGAATATACAAAATTATAATCTGTTTAACTGTACTACATGTATCAAGAAGACGTTTGCTCTATTCAATAAATACTTGTACTAAAAAATGTACAAGTAATTAAAATGTACTTTAATACGTTCTGATAGATTAATTAATTGTTAACCATGTTTTGACAATCATACAGTTTACTGGATCTTGGTGATCTCAACAGGGAATGTTTCACATGTGATATTGGAGAGATTTTGAATTTGCCAATCTTGAGGACTCTAAAGGTGTCTGTGAGACTTTGATGTCTAAGATAAAAAATTCTTGCAGTTGTTTTTTACCATCAAAATATTATTCTCTATCTAGTTGCCTTTTCATCAAGATTATAAAGATTTTGAAAGCTTACAAGAAAGTAAAAAGTTTTCCCATGCTGTTATATTCATATTACAGTTAATATGAAATATTTATTCTTCTGATAACTTAAGTTTATATGTTCTACTTTTTCTCTTTTCATCTGTATGTTTAAAAAACTTGTCATTCATTCTATACAAATTATTTTCCCTAATAATGCTTTCCGTACTTTGACCTATAATCGTTTACTTTTTATACATAGCACTCATACCACATCTTATTTATATTTATATGGATAACCTACCAAGTTATCTAACAAATATCTTGATGTGCCCTGTGGTTATTTAAGTGTTTTGTATTGTTTCTATATTTACCATTAATAAGATTGCCTGGCAAATTATTTCAGTACTTGTTTGATTTATTTGCCTAAAACCAATTTTCAAACATCAACAATGACATCAATTTCATCCAATCAAAGAACAGATCATCGACAATGCCCATGATGTTACACTAGTTTAGAGTTATTAAGGTCAAATGTTATCAAATTGAAACGATACTGACTGCTTTGGAAAAAATTGCAACCACAATTACCAACACATATATGACAATTTATAACATGGTTATGGTTAGATGTCATATTAGTAATTTCCAAAATAATTTGACACTTAATAGCTCACCTGGCCCGAAGGGCCAAGTGAGCTTTTCTCATCACTTGGCGTCCGTCGTCCGTCGTTGTCGTCTTCGTCCGTCGTCATTAGCTTTTTACAAAATTCTTCTCCTCTGAAACCACGGGGCCAAATTTTACCAAACTTAGCCACAATCATCATTAGGGTATCTAGTTTAAAAAATGTGTCCGATGACCCCGCCAACCAACCAAGATGGCCGTCATGACTAAAAATAGAACATAGGGGTAAAATGTAGATTTTGGCTTATATCTCTGAAACCAAAGCATTTAGAGTAAATCTGACATAGGGTAAAACTGATTATCAGATCAAGATCTATCTGCCCTGAAATTTTCAGACAAATCTGACAACCTGTTGTTGGGTTGCTGCCCCTGAATTTAAGAAATTTTGCAGTTTTTGGTTATTATCTTGAATATTATTATAGATAGAGATAAACTGTAAACAGCAATAATGTTCAACAAAGTAAGATCTACAAATAAGTTGGCATGACCAAAATTGTCAGTCAACCCCTTTAGGAGTTATTGCCCTTAATAGTCAATTTTTAACAATTTTTTGTTAATTTTTGTAATCTTTTACAAAAATCTTCTTCTCTGAAACTACTGAGACAAATTTAACCATACTTGGCCATAATCATTATTAGGGTATCTAGTTTAAAAAATTTGTCAGATGACCCCGCCTTCCAACCATCATGGCCGACTTGGTTAAAAATGGAACATAGGGGTAAAATGCAGTTTTTGGTTTATATCTCTGAAACTAAAGCATTTAAAGCAAATCTGACAAGGTGGCAAAAATGTTCATCAGATTTAGATATATCTGCCCTGAAATTTTCAGACGAATCCGACAACCCGTTGTTGGGTTGCTGCCCCTGAGTTAGTAATTTTACAGAAATTTTGCAGTTTTTTGTTATTATCTTAGATATCATTATAATATCTAATATCTAATACTATTAATTATGATTTTAACCTTATTTTACATGATTTCCAAAGCATCAGTAAATACAGGTGAGCGACACAGGCTCTTGAGAGCCTCTAGTTTATATATATTTCAGGTGTAAATGGTGAACCGAAAGAAGAAAACTTTAGATTTGAAAAATGTCCTTACCCTGCAGATCTACAGAAAGAAGAAGTATTGATTAAAACTCTGTACTTATCTGTTGATCCAGCATTGGTAATTATTTTCAAATTAACAATTTTAATATTGATGAAATTTTAGACAATTTTGAAACATATTCACTATTTTAACATCCCTGGAGTATTTAATCATGATTTTGTATGTAATATGTCTATCTGTTTGCCTGTTTGTCCACCCTTCCAAAATTTTTCCAGATGATGACTGATATTTGCCTCTTATTTTATCTTTCTTTAAAGTTGTATTTTTACTATGTAAGTATGATCGTGATGAAGGCTGCGTGATACTACAGGTATTTGAAGTCATACCCCTTTGAAATATGAATTTTTTTAAATAAATTGTTTCAGATGATAGTAACTTCAGATGCCTTGAAGATACACCTTGATATATATGCTTCTAATTTGTTGTTTCAATAAGATGGTTTCTGGATGATAATTTTGTTTTAAAGGTGAACAGATGATAACTTTATTTATCTCTGAAGATAATCCTTGATATATATGCTACCAGAAAAAAAAATCATGACAGCTTATAGATGCTGCCTTGTCTATTGGTTTGAACAAATGGGTTCTGGATGATAATTTTGGATTTCTTTTAGCAATATCATATTCTTTAAGCATGATTTCTAATAAAATATATGTCAATGTTTTCATTTCTAATGGTTTGATTTTTTCTAGAGATGTCGGATGAATGAAAGTACAGGTGTAGATTACATGGGACCATGGCAGATAGGAGAAACAATAGAGGGATTTGGAGGAGTTGGTTCTGTAATTAAGTCATTAAATCCAGAGTTTGCAGAAGGTGATTTAGTCTGTTCTCAATATGGATGGCCATGGAAAGAGTATTTTGTTAGGAAACCTGATAAATCATTCCAGAAAGTAAGTCATGGATTTTGGATTGTTTATTTTATTGCAAATATTGATAATTTTGATACATCTTTTTTGTTTTGTAGTTCCAAAGAATGACAAACCTAATACCTAACAATGATTTGGAAGTATGTCTAAGCAGATTAATCCATCTTAGTTTATGTACATTTTAAAGTTATAATTTTTTATTTGAAATATGTCCTTTTTTAAGTTTAAGGCTACCAAATAGCTGTCTTTAGTTAAAATAGTTTCCATAATTACTTTAGATAGTAAAAGATAACAAAATGTGCATTCCTGTCATAATGATACATATCAAAAAGGAAAACAAAATTCTGCAATTTTCCATGCTTAAAGGAAATAACTCTCATTTTGAAATTCTTAAATTGGATATGGCAACCTGTATTTTACCAACATTACAAATCTTGATGTTTTTATTAAGAATTAAGCATGTACAGCTGAATTCCAAAACAGATGTATCTATAGATGTATCTAAGAAAGAATAATGATATTATACAAGCTTATACTTATATCTTACAGGTAGACAAGTCATTACTTGATTGGAAGATATCATACTGTCTCGATGTTTTTATATCTTACAGGTAGACAAGTCATTACTTGATTGGAAGATATCATACTGTCTCAATGTTTTTATATCTTACAGGTAGACAAGTCATTACTTGGTGGGAAGATGATATACTGTCTCAGTGTTTATATATCTTACAGGTAGACATGTCATTACTTGATGGGAAGATATCATACTGTCTCAGTGTTTTTATATCTTACAGGTAGGCAAGTCATTACTTGGTGGGAAGATAATATACTGTCTCAGAGTTTATATATCTCACAGGTAGGCAAGTCATTACTTGATGGGAAGATATCATACTGTCTCAGTGTTTATACATCTTACAGGTAGACAAGTCATTAGTTGGTGGGAAGATATCATTCTGTCTCAGTGTTTATATATCTTACATGTAGACAAGATTTCATACTTTCTCAGTGTTTTTATATCTTACAGGTAGACAAGTGGTTAGTTGATGGAAAGATATTATACTGTCTCAGTGTTTTGATATCTTACAGGTAGACAAGGCATTAGTTGGTGGGAAGATATCATACTGTCTCAGTGTTTTTATATCTTACAGGTAGACAAGCCTTATTTGGTGTTTTTATATCTTACAGGTGGACAGGTCATTAGTTGGTGGGAAGATATCATACTGTCTCAGTGTTTTAAGTCTGACAGGACTGACCTCATATTTAGGTATTACAGAGGAAGGTCACTTACAACCTTTACATACACTAGTAATCAGTGGTGCAGCAGGGGCATGTGGATCTTTAGCAGGACAGGTAAAAATGTACAATAAAAGTAGGGGTTTCACCAGAGGTTCCAAGCAGCAGCGGATTCAAGTTGCACACCCATTGCAATTCCCCCAAAACCTTAGCAAAATTATTAATTAGCCCAGAAGAGGTCTAATGCAGCCCTAAACTCCTCATTGTTTTCATGAGTCCCCATCCCACCCCCCTCAAAACCCATCAAATCTTTGAAATTCTCCTTTAAAGCATAAAAAAGATATTTGTGCATAAAGAAATGTTATTTGTTATAATATATAATGACCTAACATATTTGTAAATAGATGTGCTGTTGTGATGGCTTATCATAAGTAATGTTTCATTAATGGACTTTGCTAGTAACATGAGTAACACAACAGGTATCACTAGAAATTGCTGACCCACCTGAGGCATCTGAAATTACCTCTAGTTCCTGGTGAGATTTGTGTTACTCAATTAAACACTCTTGTCAATAACAGGCGAATCGAGATTAGAATGAACATGGTAGAAGTTTAAGGCACATTGGTGCACATGAATGCTGGCATTAAGAGTATTATTTTGAACGCTCAACTACAAAAAAATGTCAAAATATAAGACTGAAAGCAAACTAGTTGTCTTAAAACGTGCAAATTGGTACAAGGGTTAACCGATAGGAATTGGAAGGGGTTAAAGTTAGCTAGCAGAAATGAGTTTTGTACATAGCACATGGGTGGCTAAGTTGAACTAAGTTTTTTGCCATGATTTTCAGTGTACAGTTTTTATGCCCCTGCCGTAGCGGTGGGGCATTAAGTTTTACCCTTGTCCGTCTGTACGTACATACGTACGTACATCCCAAAATTGGTTTCCGTTCTTTAACTTGAGTTTGCCTCAACCAAATGTTATGAAACTGATACCCAATGCTTATTACCACAAAACACAGATCAAGTTTGAATTTTAGTGGCGTCACTTCAACCGTTCTAGAGTTATGCCCCTTTATAAATGGAAAAATTGCAAATTTTTAGTTTCCATTCTCTTACTTAAGTTTGCCTCAACTAAATGTTATGAAACTTATACACAATGCTTATTACCACAAAACACAGATCAAGTTTGAATTTTGGTGGTGTCACTTTAACCGTTCTAGAGTTATGCTCCTTTATAAATGGAAAAATTGCAAAATTTTTATTTTCTTCTAAATATCAAGTAATTTTTAAAATTGGAGTTATCTTCCTTTGTCCATGATTATAATTGAATCAACTACAATCAATGCTTTATACAATGCAATGTTTAATTTTGACTTCGACTGTTAAAACACAGATCAAATTGAATTTGGGTAGTGTCACTTTAACCATTATTGAGTTATGCCCCTTTATAAATCAAAAGATTGCAAAATTTTTAGTTTCCATTCTGTAACTTAAATTTGCACCAACCAAACATTATGAAACCTATACACAATATTCATTACCACAAAACTGAGATCAAGTACACATTTTTTGTTTCCGTTTTCTAACTTTAGTTTGCCTCAACCAAATGTTATGAAACTTATACACAATGCTTATTACTACATAATACAGATTAAGTACAAAATTTGGTGGGACACTTTTACCATTCTTGAGTTATGTCCCATTATAAACATAAAAATGGCTGAATATTTCGTTTCTGGTCTCTAAATTTAGTTGGTCTCAACCAAATGTTATAAAACTTATACACAACCGTTCTAGAGTTATGCCTGTTTACAAATAGAAAAATTGCTGAATTTTTAGTTTCTTTCTCTACTTAAGTTAGCCTCAACCAAATGTTATGAGACTTACACACAATGCTAATTACCACAAAACTCAGATCAAGTTCAAATTTGGGTAGCGTCACTTTTATCGTTCTTCAGTTATGTCCCTTTATAACTATATGATATGCAAGCGGGTGCATCATCTGTGTCCACATGTGGACACTATCCACATTTATTTTCTTTGTATGCAACACACCTTCTGGTAGTGGTGAATAATCATGTCAAGTGTCATCACTGAACTCCAAGTGGTTTTTTAGTTAGAGGGGGAAACTATTTGTGACAGATGCATGGATACACGGACAGAAAAGCTGATTACTATAGGCCTTGCACCCATTAATCAGCTGGGCCCTAATTAGAGAAGATAAAAAGTTATATTTCTTTTTTGTAGTTTGGTCATTTAAAAGGTTGTGAAAGAGTTATTGGAATTTGTGGTAGTGATGAGAAATGTAAATATTTAACAGATGAACTTGGATTTAATGGTGCTATCAATTATAAAACACAGAACATAAAAGACGAACTGTGTAAACACTGTCCTAAAGGTGTTGATGTATACTTTGACAATGTTGGTGGAGCAATCAGTGATCAGGTCATTAAACAGGTATATACATGTACTTTTATATCATCATTGAAAATGTTGATGAGATAATCAGTCATTAAACATTTATACATTGATATAATATTCATTTGCTTCTTCAATTTCATTAACTGAAAAACGATAAAATTTATCGAGAGATATTTCAGCCATTTGAAAATTCACCAATGCCATTTATTGAAACAAAGCCTGATAAGATTTTACAAACAAACAACGTGATTTGTTTGTTTCGTTTACCATTTCTTTGAAAGGATTTCGATCCTCAAAATTGTTGGAAAAGTATGAATAGGTTTAGTTGTGTGTTGAGCCTAGTTTGCAGACAAAAGCTAAATGTAATAACCCCATCCCTTGTCAGTAACAACAAACATGATAACCAAAAATGAGCCTATGTTTGCTGAAAATAAAAGAATTTTACAAGATTTTGTTAAGGTAAAAATTAAAAACTGATGATCCTAGATTAAATTATTTTAAATAATACTTTATCATAAAGGTATGATAACAATTTTGGTGTACCTGACAAATGTTTCTAGAATAATTTTCATCAGGTTTACGAGAGGCCAAAAGTTTTGGAAGTCAAATACACCAAGTGTTGAAAGAATCAATGCTAAAAAAGGTTAATGAATACCGGGTATGCATAGAAATGTAAATTGCCAGTGGGACTTCAATTAGGCAGAACAAATATAATTTTACACTGATAGGAACGCGAAAGGGTAAAGTTAGTGAGCAGAAAAGATTTTTGTACATAAGAACAGGGGTCACTAAGTTGAACTAAGTTTTTGACCATGACTTTCAAGAGTATAGTTTTTTTCGTAGTATGCAGCACACCTTATGGTAGTGGAGAATAATCATGCCAAGTGTCATTACTGAACTCCAAGTGTTTTTAAAGTTTAAAGAGAGCAGAAACTATTTGTGACAGACGCATGGATACACAGACGGACAAGCTGATTACTATAGTCATAACAAAATAATGTTTGTTGTTACTGACAAGGGGTGGCATTATGACAATTTTGTTTTTTGTCTGCAAGAACTAGGCCTAATACACAACTAAGCCTTTAAATACTTTTCCAACAATTTTAAGGGTCGAATTTCTTTCAAGTAAATACCTTCAGCAGAATAATATTACAAGGTTAAATAGTCTATCCTTTTCCATTCTCAATTCTATTATAAAGCATTACAATACATTGCTGTACTACTGAAATAATTTTTCATGGTATGATCCCCATTGCAAGAAAATGACAGTCTTTGTTTAATTAAAAATCAATTGATTTTCACCTGTTACATTAGGGCTATTCCAGAAAAAAATCTATGGGGGGGTTGGAAGGCACTTTATATTAATAATACATGGGTGATGGGTATCAGAGTAACTTTCACATATATAGTGCACTCTGATTCTAAATTACGATTGTCTGGGTGGTGGGTGCTGAAAAAAACTGCCTTCTAACCCCCCCCATACATTTTTTTCTGGAATAGCCCTTATTATTTTCAATTTTCCACAAAAGAGAAATAGCTGTGGTTTTAGATTAAAAAGAGCAAAAAAATCACTCTTCCTTTACTTTTGTTGATCAGTTGTGTGTAGTATCATGAATAAATACACCATATCCTTCATTCATATTAATGTTCACAACTACCAGCAATGGTAAGATGTATTTTACAATTGTATTATGATTTCAGATGAACAAAGATTCCCATGTAATTTTGTGTGGACAGATATCTGTTTATAATAAAGATGTCCCCTATCCACCACCCATACCAGAGGAGACTAAGCAATGCCTTCAGCAGAATAATATCACAAGGTAAATATGTCTACCATTCTCACTACCCATTCCAGAAATATTTTTCTTAAGTTTTTTTCATAAAGAAAAATTACATTATAATCAGGGGCAGATTGAGGATTTTGCTTCGAGGATGTAATACCCAAAGCTGAGTACCCATATAGCAAATAAAATCTTATGTTTTTCATATGTATCAGAAAAATGAGATGATCTTCATATATGAAGTTAGTTCTGTTAAGTTCCTTTTAAAGTAAAAATCCCCCTAAAATGGCCATACATCCCTCCCTTTGATAGTATTACCTTGTACTTAGCTCAGCTTTAACAATCAGCAATATAATTTACCACAAAAACAGAGTACATGTACCAGTAATAAAATTCACCTCAAAAATAGAGTAAGGGAATTTTTATTTAGCTTTGTATGTTATAAGTTATCCATAAGGGTTGAAAATAAGATAAAACTTGCTCTTTTCTCCAAAGAATTTGCTCAAAATGCATGTTAAATTTATTGGGGGATCATTTTGCTCAGAACAAAAGGATAATTTCTCACTTCAGTATATATCATTCATTTTAATAAGGCATTGAATATTGAATTTGACAGCAGTCATACAAACTAGTATGAGTTGACAGTCTTGATATTAATAACTGCCTCAGTGGTCTCTTGGAAGAGTGTTCCTCTCCAGTGTAGGAGATTATGGGTTCAGTCCAAAGACTTGAAAATTGGTATTTGCTGCTTCTCCACAAAACACAATGTATTCAGGAGTAAGGCCAATGACTTTTTGGTTTTGAGTCATAAAAATGTGTTTGAGAAGGGTGATATGTCTCCCTGCCAAACGTTTTCTTGTGAATAACGCCACAGCGTTGGTCTAATACTAAGCAAGAATATGCATTTAATTTGCCACTGGATGTTAAACATTCATCTATCCATCCATCTTAATGTTAAAACTAGGATATGCTGGGTTTTTTTTTGGAGGTTTTTATCCTTGCTTGAAAGTGTGCCAATCAAAATGATGAATAACAAGTCATTAGTTCATTAGAATAGTTTTATTTTTTTTCAGGGAAAGGTTTTTGGTGCTTAATTATCCTGAAAAATTTGATGAATCGTTAAAACAGATTGCTGAATGGCTCCTATCAGGCAAAATAAAGGTACAGTAATCATGAAAGAACAACTTTTAAAGTTGTATTATTTCAGTATTTAAATATATCAGTCACTTGACCATGACTGAGGGGGATTTCTTATAAATCAAAATCAAATATTTATTATTCCAATCAAGGTCCCACAGCGGGCATCTTCAAGCAACAATTATAAGTTAGATACATTTGTGTATAATATAATGTGATAGATACTGTAATATATATAAATAAAAAGCAGAATAAGTATAATTGGATCGTTACGTCCAGCAATGCAGTTCAGATTCACTTCAACATCATTATCATTGAAGAGTTATACCATTATAAACAACGTTGCTTATTTCATAAGAATATGAATAAAAAAAAAATAATAAATTTGTTGCAGGTAGTTGTTCTGAGATGTATTGATTCTAATGCAACTGTTTAGCAAATCTCAACTATCCATCAAAAATACTTATTCTTAGATGGATTTGATCAGTTAATCTAAAGTGAATGTATGAAAAATGTATAAAAAAAACAGATATAAATTGAGTAAACTTTTATTGGCTGCAAATAGCACCTCCTAATGAATCACAACTGACATTTAACAATATGTATATGAAAGTTGATACATATTTCTGTTTTGTTTTTTTTACAGGTGAAGGAAACTATTGCAGAAGGTCTTGTAAATGCTGGTCCTGCCTTTGTATCAATGATGAGAGGAGGAAACATAGGAAAACAATTAATTCGTGTAGCTAGTCTATAAACTTTTCAAATGTATTTCATAGTACTAATAGAGATTAATTTGTCAATTAATATGATTTGTAAATGATAATCATTTTTTTTTTAAATTCAGGGAATAAATGTTTACTTTTAAGATTTATAGATATTATTATTAGTAATAACTTAATATTATTTTTATTATTCTTCAACCTTAAAAGGGAAGTAACCAAATTCCTTTCAGATGAACTGGAATGAGTTTATAAAAAGAAGTGGTATTTGGATTCAATCTTATTTGCTATCTCTATGTCATCCTTTGGAATTAATAATTAACAATGACCTATTTTACATTTTTGTCATGAGCCTCATCAGTAATCAACTATAACAAGTTTATTAATAAATTGGTATGTCTACCTTGGACTCTTAATGAAGGATTCAATGCTATCAGTCTGTTTATAATGGATTAAGTTAGGAAAACTTGCAGCATTCATCCTGTTGGTCATAACAAGGTAAAATCCTGTGATTACCTGTATTCCACTACAATATAAAAAATAAGGAGACGTGGTATGATTGCCAAAGAGACAACTATCCACAAGAGATAAAAAAAACCAGTTGTAAACAACTACAAGTCACTGTATGACCTTCAACAAACATGTACATCAAAACGTATACCTTATAGTACATGTATGCTGTAAAAGGCAAAAAAAAAACAATTCAAAAGAGAAAAACTGCTTCGCTGAGCGCAGCTGGATACGCCTGCAAAGGTCCAACCCTGAACAGTTGGGACAAAAATGGACACAATATTCAAGCTTGATACAGGTCTGAATTTGGATTGTATTAAATATTTAACATATTATAGGTTTCTGAATAAATGTAGTCAAAGAACTTGAAATTGGTTATAGGAATTGAATTTATATTCAATTAAAGATTTCTTGCTGTTGTGCAATACACTGTGCTGTTGCGCAATACTTAGTAAATCTGTTGTCAGACTATAAACAATTAAAGTTCAATTAATTCTCAATGTCATATTAAAAATTTATGAAAATGTAAAGGGAGCTTACATCAATAGATATAAATAATTCACCAAAGTTTCATGAGAATTTCTGACAGCATTTTTGTCTCGCCTGCGACGAAAGTCGCAGAAAGTGAGACATAGGTATTACTATCCGGCGGCGGCGGCGACGGCTGCGTAAACTATTTGTATAAAGCTTTATATTTCAGAAGGTAGAAGACCTTGATGCTTCATACTTTGTATGCAGATACCTTATGTTACGAACTTTCCGTCTGTCATATGTCCAATGTCCTTGACCTTATTTTCATGGTTCAGCGACTGCTTGAAAAAAAAGTTTAGTTTTTTTGTTATGTAAATTTCTCACTTATTATGAGTAATAGGATAACTATATTTGGTATATGGGTTCCTTGCAACGTCTACATGTCCATCAGACAGGGTTCACCTGACCTCAGCCTCATTTCATGGATCAGTGATCAAGGTTAAAGTTACGTGATGAGGTCCGTTTCTCAGATACTACAGGCAGTAGGTCAGCTATATGTGGTGTATGGAATGATTATAAGGGATACATGTCAGTCTGGCAGGTTTCATCTGACTTTGACCTCATTTTCACGGTTCATTGGTCAATGTTAAGTTTTTGTGTTTTGGTCAGTTTTTCTAATACTATAAGCCATTGGTCAACTATATTTGGTGTATGGAATGATTGTAAGGTGTACATGTCTGTCTGGCAGGTGTCATTTGTCCTTGACCTCATTTTCATGGTTCATTGGTCAATGTTAAGTTTTTGTGTTTTGGTCTGTTTTTCTAATACTATAAGCAATAGGTCAACTATATTTGGTGTATGGAATGATTGTAAGGTGTACATGTCTGTCTGGCAGGTGTCATTTGTCCTTGACCTCATTTTCATGGTTCATTGGTCAATGTTAAGTTGCTCTTGTTTGGTCCTCTTCTCAGATACTATAAGTTATAGGTCAACTATATGTGGTGTATGGAATGATTGTAAGGTGTGCACGTCTGTCTGACAGGTTTCATCTGACCTTGAGCTTATTTTCATGGTTCATTGATCAATGTTAAGTTTCTGTTGTTTGGTCTTCTTCTCAGATGCTATAAGTAATAGGTCAACTATATTTGGTGTATGGAATGTATTTTATTATTTAACTGCTGATTACTTACATTGAAATAGATTATTTTATAAAAATCTTTAAATAACATTAATAATGATAATAAATAATAAAAACTTTTAAGGGATCATTACTAAACTGTGATTAACAAAAACATTGGAAGGTGTGAAAATGTTAAAATAAGGTCACTCATGCATTAATTATTAACATAGAATACAGTTCACTCCAGTCCCTTCATAAAGATTAATTGGCTGAATAATGTACAGATTGAAGAACTTTTGAAATTTTGTTTGCACAACAGAATCACATTTACTGATTTTTGATACATATGAAATAAGATAAGTATTGAGATAAGTAAAAAATATTTTAGCATAGCAACATAAATAGATAAATAGATAATATGAATATATGACTTTTTACAATATTTTGATCAAAGATTGAAGATAATTTTAGTTTTTTTTTTTTTTTTTTTGGGGTGGGGGGGTCTTTCAGGATCATCTCAAGGAATTGACAAATATTTATCCAGTTTCTGCAATGCCTTAAAACTTTTCCTTGTGCACAGGTTTGTCTGTACTCAAGAGGAAATAAAAAAAAATGGCCATATTTGTCAATATTTGGTCAAAGTTCAGTTTCCTCAATGAGGTTTGTTTCTAAGATACTTTAGGCAATATATGTTAAATAAATTTGGTGTATGGAATGATTGTACGGCCTACATGTTTGTCTGATAGGGTTTATCTCACCTTGACTTCATGTTCATTCATCATTAAAATTTTAATTTAATGTAAAGCTTATATAAACTTATTTTTTTTACTTTCAACATAAATTCAATTATGAACACTAAAACAGGCGAGACATTTCAGTGTGTCCACTCTTGTTGAGTTATTGTCCAAAAACTGGAAAATCCCCCCTTTTTTAATGAATAAAACCCCATAACTCCGAAATGTAAAATGTAAAATTTATAAAATTCTAAACGGAGCTTACATCAATATATATAAACAATTCACCAAAGTTTCATAAGAGCTGCTGAAAGCATTTTTGATTTTTTGTCTGAAAACTGGAAAATCCCCCTTTTTTTTATGAATAAAACCCTGTAACTCGGAAATGTAAAATCTAAAATATATAAAAATCAAAAGGGAGCTCATGTCAATAGATATAAACAATTCACCACAATTTCTTGCAAGTTGGTGAAAGCATTCTCGAGTTATTGTCCGAAAACTGGAAAATCCCCCTTTTTTTAATGAATAAAACCCCATAACTCGGGAACGTAAAATCTAAAATTTATAAAAAACGAAAGGGAGCTCACGTCAATTGATATAAACAATTCACCAAAGTTTTATGCAAATTGGTTAAAGCGTTTTTGAGTTAATGTCCGACATATTGACGACGGACGGACGGACAGACGGACGGATGGAAGGACAGACAGACAGACGGACAACGGTATACCATAATACGTCCTGTAAACCGGCGTATAAAAACAACTGCCTGATTTATGCTAAAAATAATAAAAGAAATCAGTTACTGCAGACATCATCCAAGGAAAATCACTGGGTTACAGCCTCCTGACTTGGGACAGGAACATCAAGAACGTGGTGGGATTAAACATGTTTGTGAGTGCTCAATCCTCCCCATAACCTGCAGCTGTAACAGGTCATATGATGAGGGAAGGACTAGCATAGACCTTAGTTCTTAAATGTACAACTATTCCTCATATATATATTCATGTCAAGGCAAAGAGGCAAGTTAGTAGTACTGAAACAGATTTAACAGAATTGTTGTTTTCTTGGACGACATGTACATTTACATATTTAATTGTAAATTGCAAAGAGTTAATATGTAAAAATAAAGCAGCCAAACCATTTATAATATGAGAAATAGAATATATTCAATAGAACAACAGGACATATGACTTACCCTATATCGCACATCTGGCTATATCAAGGGAAAATAAAGGATTTTTAGTCCTCGTAGCTTTTATGATTAAAGATATCTTGATGGACAGTTGAGCTAGCTATAAAACCTGGTTTAATCCACCATTTTCTACATAACAAAATGCCTGTACCAAGTCAGCAATATGACAGTTGTTTTCCATTCGTTAGATGTGTTTCAGCTTTTGATTTTACCATTTTATAAAGGACTTTCCGTTTTGAATTCCCTTGGAGTTTGGTATTTTTGTTATTTTACTTTTTTCGATGGCTGTTCAACTTCCAGCAGCAAATTAAATGCATATTCAGGACCAGAACATGTTAAGCAATATGAATATGAGCCAGATTGTAAAATGCTAGTTTACAGTTCCGCAGGAAGACATGTAACCCTACCTGGACACATTATTCAGATTTTTTAAAGTCTTCTGATTGACCAGGCTGAGGATCAAAACCCCAAAAAATCCTATACTCAAGGAGAGAATGCTACCACAAGACTACAGGGGTGGTAAAAAATATCTTGAACTGAACTTCCAAAAGAAAACCATTTGTAAAATTGGTGTACAGTACATCCAAATCAGTATCTGACATATTTTATCTATTAATGCAACCAAAGAAATAACATAGTCACTATTACAATTACACAATATAACATAGTGTAGATTTGTTGGTTTGACATGAATGCCCCTGCCTGCAGCCTTATTGTAAATAGTAATAAAATGTTCCGCTGGGTGCAGCTTGATACGACCACAGAGGTCGAACCCTAAACAGTTGGGGCAAGTATGGACACAACATTCAAACTTGATACAGCACTGAATTTGGATTGTGATTAAATATTTGACACAGCATAGGTTTCTGACACAGAATGAATGTGGTCCAAGAACATAAAAAATTTTTAATTTACCTATTCAAACCATATCATTATTATTTGCTTTTATATATAAATCAGAAATAACCAATTTAAAATGGAAAATTTTAAAGAAAAAAAAGCGGAAAAAAATCCCCCCCCCCCCCCCCCCCGAAATTTTTTGAACCCCCTTATGATTCATCACCCCAAACTCAATCCCAGCCTCCCCTTTGTGGTATGGTACCTTGCAGTACAATTTCAGA